GCATATAAAACCAGAAAAAGCAGAATATGGGACCTTTAAGCAAGTAATATCTATTCAATGCTTTGGTGATTTTTTTTTATCCTGTGGAGGAATAACTTAGTTTGTTTATGCCTCACAGTCCTGCTCAAATGCATCTGTCTTTTTTTTTTTGCACAGCCGCTTGCTTTTTCAACCTTTGTCTTCTCTGAAGAGGCGCTGCTGCTCTACCAAGGCCTTGTAGTTAAGGCCTCTGTGGAGCATGAACCCTGGAGCAGTGACTGACAAGCCCTTAATAATCAATTCTCCGGCACACTGTTCCAAGGCAACACTTGATCTGAGCTTCCCCGAGCTGAGCCCCGAATACTTCATGGCGATTTACTGACACTGTGAAATCCAATTAAAAATGCATTTGGACATTGATCACCTGATGCACCCAGATTGATTGCCGCCCAGAAAGCAACCTTGTTGTGTTTTTGTTTGGCCAGGGTCCATTCACCTTCCCATACCATATAAATGTATTGATCGGCACATCCACTCTGGGATCCATATGAAGCATTAAACATCCTTTCAGTGTTTCTCGGTCCATTTATATGACTCAGAACAGATTCCACTCATTTAAAACTGGCCAGCACACAGCCCAGCAAACCAATAAGCTTTGAGACACCGACACACATCTACAGCATAATGAAGCCAGGGGGTTGTCAAGTCAGCTATCCATTTAAAAGTGCTTTACATCAATCTGTTAGATGTCTAAGAGATAGAAGAGTATAAGTATAGTGTAAAAACCTGAATGGTTGGATAGAAAAATACCTAATTAGAAATGCTTGATTCAAAAACAAACACAATGTAAATGTTCCCTTTTCAAATCAGTGTTATTCACTCTATTTGACACAATAGGGAAAAAAGTATATGCTTTCAAATAGTGTTTGAGGTGCTTATGTGGTACAATGAATGTGAAAGAATAAATTGGAACGCCAGTGAATAAGACGCATTTGTATGCAAAATTGGCGAGACAGCCCGGAGAAAGAGCTGCAGGCAGACGGACGTGCATGTAATCAGGTATCGAATCCTCTCGTCTCCTGTATTCACAGTGTTTGCGCAGGTGAATGGCGGCCGCGCTCTTGTCTCTGAGCATCGGTCCACATGAATGACCGAGGCTGTGTCCGCATTTGCACGGATCAACACCCATGGGTATCATCTCCTCAGAAAACAGCGGCTACAACACCTTCAGCCAAATAACCTTACTTCCATATCCGGTGAAATCTGCGCTCTCTTTCACCTGTACTGACTTTTGGCAAACTCAATCAATCTTCTGCTGAGGGCTGCTCCACTTTCCACATTTCCAAAGCTTTCTTCTTCCGTTACACCCTCCTCTTCCCTACAGATATATTCATCTCCACACTTTGTATTAACCTCTTTCCCTCTATCTATTTCCTGTTTTCTCCTGATCCATCACCTTCTCCACCCACCCTCCCTTTTGTCTGATTCTAAGTTACGATTCCCTTTACCGCGACTAAACATCTTCAACTTCTCTCTGTAGGGTGTCAGGGTTCTCCATCGCCCAGCTGGGACCCACCTCCAGCTCTACCCACCCCCACAGATGGACCTGGCGGTTAATGAGCCTGTTGAGTAAGTCGGCACCTCGACTCAACATTGATCACCAGGCCTCTCTGTACCGCCAACTCTCAGGGAAGCTATTTGTCAAGGTGATAATTTATTTTGTAGCACCGGATACCTTGTGCAGGGGATTGTGTTGTTTTTTTCACCATCAGGTCTAAGGGGCCTGATGGGTAACAGTTCAGGTCCAAATCAGGGTCATGATGTGTAACATGAAACACGCAGAGTTGTAACTCAGCCACAATCATTAAATGGAGACTTTCATCTTGCTAAGCAGAGGAGGAAACAGAGATCTGTAGCACATTTTCAAACCCAATTCCCTTCTATTTCTTACCATAAAGACTTTGGTGTTTTGGTGCCCTGCTAAGTTATTAGCATTAAAAAAAGACACCGTGTTTGACTTCTGGGAAGAGTGGGAGACTGAATGGAAGCTGCGCCATTGTTTTGATCATGCTGACATGGGATGCCCAATTACGGAGATTCGGCCTGTGGAACCGCTGAGGCCAAAACACCTGATGGGAGGAGGTGGCAGGAGTGGCAGGAGCATGGGACGCTGCTTGTGGGTATGCGAGGCTACCGCAGTGCACCGCTGCTCCCGTGTGCTCTCAAGATGTTCCACATCTCCCCCCTCTAATTGGCAGATGGCCTCAGATGCGAGATGATTTAATGGCCTGCGCGTGTGTGTTTTTTTTTTTCTTGCCTCAGTCAGCCATTAGCGGGGACATCTGTAACGAGTTGGCCAGGCGCACTGCTGTGAGCGGAAGCTGAGAGAGAGCAACACTTTCTAATAGGGGGGGTAGTGCGATCGTGACGGACTTGTGCGGTAATCAAAGAACTCAGAGCCATTTCTTTGCGTTATGATAATTGAGACATCTTGGTAACTATCTGCGACAGAGGGAGAAACTATAATATCCCCCCTGATGTTGTTTACCTTGGAAAAGCTGGAAAGAGAGTATCAAACAGCATGGTATTATTGGACATCATGCAGTGGTGGTTCTAGACCACTTTTACTGAGGGGGCCAAACTGGGGCCAGTTGTTTTGTCAGAGGGGAACATTAAACCCAGGTGAAAAATAGACAAAGAAGATTGCTTTAAAAATATATATATTATGGAAAATAATAGCTCACATCATTAAATACCACAACATAAAATACCATGATTTATATTTGTTTCAGTAACAGTATTTAATACTAGATTGTGAGTCTGGTTGTTGAGTCAAATACTGTGTATGTGTTATATATAGATCAGTGTTACAGGGGCACTGGCCCCCTGTTGGGCCCTGCCTAGAACCCCCCATGACATCATGTGTAACCTGCCCTTTGCTTCATTATAGACCAAATCAAGACATTTTTAGCTGAGCCTTATCAAAAATGTTCATGGCAAAGGGACAAACAGCTTGCATTCCAAGTGATCCAGTTTCTTGCAGCTGTGCCGTAACCATCTGCGCCGAATGTTGTGCTCAAGGGCAAAACACTGAAAATTCAACCAGACTTTTTGCACCTAAGGGCCTCCGGTTTATGGCTCTACGGCTGCCTTCATTTCCCCCTCCTGAGCTCTGAATCTCTAGAACCTGCGCTGGAAGAGGGAGAGAGCTGCATTGTTGAACAAGTGAGGCCCTTCTGGAGGCTCTCAATGCATGTAGACAGAGTGCTGGAGAAAGTGGCTCTGAGCCTGAGGCCTTTTTTTAAAGCTTGATGGCCATCAGTATTCTTGCCGTAGCCTCTGAGGATTTGTCTGCTACCTGCAAACTGGGTCAATTTTTGCATTATTTTAGAGATTTGTATCTCGCTGTGGATAGAGGAGAGGTTTTCACACAAGCAACCAGAAGGACTCACACCTGCACTTTGTCTCTCTCTCTCTCGCTCGCTCACCCCTTTTCTCCGTTTCCCTCCCAGCCTCACAATATTCTGAATTCATTAATGTGAGGACATATTTGTTATTTCCACACATTGATGACAGTTTAAAGCCACAAAAAGTGTTAGAAAATGACTGCCTTACACTAACTATGATGTGAAATCATTTTAGACATAGCAAACTAAAGACTAATTAAAATTGATACATAGGATTACTAATTACAACATGTAAAAACACCATCATTTTTTAAATGCAAGTAATTCTCAGTGAATGCTTTTCCTATTCATGTCAAAATTATGGAATTAATAGTCATGAATCTGAAATAGTAATGAATGTGACTCTGCTATTCATGCATTAATAATGATGAGGAAGTGTCAGTGCTGTAGCACCACCTTGGACATTTCTATCAGCTTTTACCTTGAGGAAACCCTCAAATATTTAACACCCACATACAATCAAATAACTTCTATACAATTTGTAATTCTAATCCTCAACTGTGGAGCCTTGGAGGTGAATGAGGGACCAGGAGCAGATGGGGGGGCGGTAATGAGATGCAGAAAACAGGGAATTGAGGGGGACAGGCCGGCTGGTGACAGAAAAAATAAGAGAGGGAGGAAGAAAATAACCAAGTATGAGATAGAGAGACGCGATAGGAGAGGAATCGCGTCTGAGGTGAATACAAATGGACAGAGGAGGAAGAACACAGAGAGAAGAAGAGGAGGGGGGGTGCGGGCAAAGAGGGGGAGGTTGTGTGAGGAGAGGAGATAAAAAGAATGTGAGAAAGATGGATTCACTGTTGGCTAATGAGAAGACAAAGGCAGGAGAATCCACATCAATTTCTGCCCCACAGCAAGCCGGCTTTATGGCTCACAGGTAGAGAGAGTGAGGGGGGTTGGGGGGGGGGTGCCTGGGGAAGCTTACCTGAGCTAAGCAGCCTTCCTGTTGAAGGTGGAGTAGGCTCAGGTAGCCTATGTGTGTGAATACATCAATGTGTGGATGTATGTGTGGCCAACATAATGTGTATACATGTGGATTCTCCAGCAGATTCAGGGAAGTTTGAGCTGTGTGTGATGTATTAGTGCAGAATAGGATGATGGACAACAGAAGAAGTGAAAGTAGGGTAAATGAAAAGATGACTGCTTAAATGAGTCATTATCGTGAAGCAGCAGATGGACTAAATGTGGGATAGAGATGAAATATTGATATGGTAAGCACTCTGCATGCAGGGCTGAAAGAGGGAACACTGTAGAAACAGCTCTGTTACTGTAACTGAATGAATAATGGAAAAGAAACAGACATTTTCCAAAATATTAACGAGATTAAATTAGGTATAAATGAGACATTTGTGATGGATGTCAGTGAGGAAATGACTGATTGTTTGAGGGGGTTTTATGAGTTTCGGCGGTGCTTCAAAGGCTTCATGTTAAGAACAAAAGAAACGCGCCGCTGTATGCTCACTGTCTTTAAAGCAAGTTAGCAGCACAGGTGCGCATCAACAAACACAAAGGCAAGTCAATTTCAAGAAAACCACGGAAGGAAAAGCAACTTACAGGAGGTTGGAGCTGTTCCAGTACACCGCATGCCGGTCGTTGGCTCTTGTCAGGTTTAAGTTTGTAAGCACCAGCGTGACGAGGCTGAGAGAAAACGTTGCGAGAGCCATAATCCCTCCGGAGCCGTGGGTCCCCTCTCTCTTCCGTCCTTCCTTCTGTCCCAGACGACGTGTCGTTCACAACATCCCCCAAAAAACGTCTTTTTAAGTTTCCTGTTACCTTAACAACAGAAGGAATCAGGACGACTTGAGAGAGGGTACGCGTTCCTCAACTCAAAACCCATCGCAGCGAAACCCATCTGGACATCTTCACTAGTGAACTTCTTTCTTGAAACTGGACTTTGTAAGTCACTCCTTCATTTGTTTGGCTTCGTTAAAAAACGAACGAAAAGGCAAAGAAAGGCTCCACATTCACAGACTGACTGAGCAGATGTTGGTGTTTTGTTGGTTGGTCTTCTCACAGCTTTTCAGCCGCTTGGTCTCCGTTGAAAAGGTTTGTGTACCTGCAGCTCCCCTCTCATCTTCTTCATCAAGCAGCAACAGCAGCAGCAGCAGCAGCAGCAGCAGCAGCGGCCACACGCTGCGCCTGCGCACAACGCTACACGCCCGCCCACGAGACCGTCTCTGCTGCCCCGCCCCCTCAAAACATGCACCGTGTGCGTTTGTGTATATGTTTGTGTTAGTGTGTGTGCATTTAAGAAACAGTATGGAGGAAATGTTCATCTCTTTATGATGTGACCACTTATATTTACTTAAAATGGTCATATTATGCTTTTTCTGGTTTTATATGCTCTTTAGTGTGTTTTCCAAGTGTCCTGTGCATGTTTAGGCACATTAGTAGAGGAACTTGGGCCCCTAAAAATTGAGAGACCCCTACCCGAGGTAGAACAAAGCACAACCATATTTTTTCATAACTTCACCATGCCTAGTTTATGAAACGGATAGTTGTATAAAAATATTTTACTGCAAAATAACTTTTTTTGGATGTTTTATGCATCTTACCAAAAAACGAAAATAGGTCAAATTAGGGCTTCTCCAAAAGGGACAGCTCTTGCCTTATCACATGTATCTCTGGGAATCAGAATCAGAATTTCACAAAATTTGGACAGGATGTTCACAGATAGTTATTAGTTACAATTATGCAATTAATAATTCGTTTTTATCAATACCATTTTCAATTTTTGAATTTTTCACACTTAAACACACATGTAGTTTAGGCGGAAATTGAAAATTGAAACAAAAATTCAAAAGGTATGTATATCAAAGTCTGTCATTTTTTAAGTAAGGACACCAAACATTAAAATATGTCATTTTTATCTTCTTTAGACTGTTATCTAAACATAAAAGCAAGTTAAAAAAGATAAAAAATTACATATTTTAATGTTTGTTGTCCTTACTTAAAAAATGACAGACTTTGATATACATACCTTTTGAATTTTTGTTTCAATTTTCAACATACTCACACATACTCCGTGCGCGCCGCGGTCCGTCAGCGCCACGGTTTTGCTCCGTCAGACGGCTCGCGCCCATTCACACTAGATCCGTTTCTGGGACGTCAGCGCAGCGGAGCGCAACCATGACACATCACAGGAGAACTACAAGATCCCGCGGGAATAAAGAGAAAAACATGCAAACAACATGTTGCTTTGTCTTTCTGAGGATGCATTGTTGTTAATTCGGATCCTGTTTTGAGGTAATGTTGATAAAGTGATGAAAAATACGATCGCGAGTCCGTATATTGTGTTTTATTTTGAAATTAACCGGATGTTCTGTGCGTTTCCTTGTCTGACTTCCTGTCCGGGCTGTCATATTCTGTCCAGCTTGACGCGTGACTGCAGCGTACTCCGGCGAAAATAAACTCGATGCGTTTTTGAAACGGAGCAGAGCGCAGTGCCGTCGGTGGCACGCTCCAGAGACGGACCGCAGCGCGCCCTGTGTGAACACAATGATTGACTAGAGTGGAAGCTAAGTACAACGTAGTGCGCGGTACTGACGGACCGCGGCGCGCACGGAGTATGTGTGAATTGGGCTTTAGACAGAGAGTCAGAAGCGAGCCGGTGCATGGAGCGGCAGTACATGAAAACAGACACTTTTTTAACTTTAGCTGTTGTGAACATACTTTAGTAGGTACATAGATTAAATTTACGAACCCCAAAAAGGGCATAATATGTTCTCTTTAAAAAGGGCTTATCAAAAGGGTTTAAGTCAGATCATTAGAAAGAATTAGGTTTGTAAGAAAGAGCGATTTAGATGTATAGCATAGGTTAAATTTATTAACAGAAGTTCCCTTTCAGGTTTATATGTGATTAAGCTTGGAATACACAAAAAAGCCTTGAAACATCATACAGCATGTGATATGACTCATAATCACAAACCATTATTATTTAATTAGCGGCACACTGTTAAAACATCTTCAGTTAAAAACAGAATATACAAAGCTTTTTGATTACAGACTACAAATGAATTGAATATTAAATGAGAAACTAATGTGATGTTGGTGCAGAGTAATAATAATTGCCTGGGGAGGTTGAATTATGCCCACTTTCTTGTCTAGATGAATTGGTCAATTCACAACCACAAAGGTCTAAACTGTTGGTTTAAAAAAACAACAACACTGCTTAGTGAGTCTTAGTTCACCAAAGTCAGACTTCATGTCAAGTCATAGTTAGACTGTTTGGATGTGTCATTCATCCTTTGCTTGTGTAGAATGCAAGTAAATAGGAGGCTAACATTTATCAAACTCACCAAGGTGTGATGGTCTGTACTACATTACAACCTCAAGAGTCCTTATTTACAAAGAATATATTTTCATCTCAGGACCTATATTTCTTTGGTGCTCAAACCATTTTGGAACTTCTCAGATTGCTTCAGCCTGCAGCTTTGACATGGCAGTAATAGCTAGTATAATCCTTTGGGGCAATTACAGGCAAGCAAGATCATTGTCTTGCCATGAATGGGCTCAGATTGTAGAAGTGTCTGAAAACATCAAGAAGAGGATCCTAATACATTTGAACAAAGAAGGTGAAGTCCTGCTCTTTAATGTATTCGGTGAGTTGACTTGTTGAAGGAATAAGACAGGGACAAATATTTCATGTCCAGGACTTGCTTTCTTTGCACACAAAATGGACATTGGTTCCTAAACAGCTACGATCTGGGTTTAGTATAAAAATGCCTTGTGTGGTGATCAGTGAAATATTTGGCGCTTACATCACATCTTAATTCTCATGAGGGCATCCCTGGCTCCATGCCTATCTGTAAGATATCGATGCTTGATGCTCAAACTGATATAGGGCTTAATCTGTTTGCCAGATCTACAAGAGCATGTCTTCATGTGTAAGTTCTGTTGTTTTGGGTCTTTAGGGGTTTGGCTTAAAGGATGAGCATTTAGGGTACTTTAGTTTCACTATTCAACAGTGGTGAAGGGTTAAGTTATGAATTAGGATTCAGATTAAAAGTTTAATAGTGGCAGTGGATGAACATCAAATGAATAGTAATAAATCACATGTGAGAGTGTGTGTGTGTGTGTGTGTGTGTGTGTGTGTGTGTGTGTGTGTGTGTGTGTGTGTGTGTGTGTGTGTGTGCGTCTTTAACAGTGAAATACAGACAGTGGGGGAGTGTAAAATTTTTAAGACTTTAATTAACCTGTTTAATTTGGCCGGTGGTGGTTTAACCACTCTATCTAGCCTTACAGCAGCCCGCTGTATTAATGGCTCAGTTAATTCCAAATATTAAGCATTAGCCTCGGTTTGATTAACTCTTCCAATTTCATATCTTGTAATAGTGTCCCTTTTGGAGAGCATATCAGTGGTATTCACACCCATAAATGTGCCTGTAGACGCCGTTTCTGAAACTTTAGCCTAGCGCTCAAAACATTAATCTGGATGACCTCAGATGAAAAACGAACATTCATTACATTTCCTTGCCGAGTCCCTGAAGGTCAAAGTCACACTTCTTTGAGAGAAAAAGAAGAAGCAGCTGAGTCGGTTGTAGATCTGCTGCCTACTACTTCCTCTCATTCATACACACTGTGTCTAGTTTGCTCTTGTTTGCTCTCCCTCACTCCTTGCTTTCTCTGTTGTTTTTTGTCAGAGATGACGCCTCTCTTGAGTGCCCTCCAGGCATGTTGCCGTGGCGACCGGAGTAACGGGGTGGATGAAAGAGCAAGTACCATCACTTTTTTTAAACTCTGTCCCACCACCTATCTGTGCGGCTCCACTGGATCACTCGCCTCCATCCGCTCCGACATTTGTCATCCTTTTTGTCGCCTCTCGTGCACTCAGGAGGAAAGTGCTGCACATCAGGAGCATATTCCCTCCATTTCTTCATAAACTGATGATCTCTCGCTTCCTGGTGCATGCACAGACCACGCAGTGCCAATGAAAGTGAGATGGAAATATAGAGAGTGACATTTAATATGTTTCCCGGACTCGTCTTGCACCCAGCAGAGGCGCAGATGCATATTTATGGCATGCTTTGTGTGCATGAGTGTGTATTCTGAACATGTGGCTGAGTGAGTGAAGCTTTCCCTGTTATAAGTTATTGAACACATTTGTTCTTCCGACTTTTCGCTATGTGATGCACTGCGTATGAATGCTTATTGCCTCCTGCAGCTGCACTCATTTGGCTTCAGGCATTGGTATAGAAACAGTTACTATGGCTGTTACCTTGACTCTGTTTGTGATTAATTCATGAACAGCAGCTATGGGCATATTGATTATTCAGATAATTTGTTATCATCAATCAGTCTCAACACTTTCATATATCCTTGTAGAATAGCTATCGATTCCCTACCAACTTCATTCCCGGTGTAAGCAATATTCCTGCAGCGAATGTGTGTGTTTCTTCCTCAGCGGGATTTCTCTATTCTCCCGGCTTCTATTTGCTTTCTCTTAATTTCCTACATCTGTTCCTCTTCTTTCTCCCCTACATCTTATTCTGCAACAGCTTTAATGTTGATGGATTAAGATGAGGTTTTTCTTGATTGAGTTTAATGTCCAGTGGCGTTGTCAGTAAACAAAGATTTATTTGATTAATCAGTTCATCAAGTGAAATGTCAAACTTATATATAAAACCACTTTGTCTGTGTCTCCTTGTTCAAAAGGCTTTAGTTCAACTATTACTACTATGCAATTCCAATACCATGTATCAGTGATACCAGTATGGTGTCAGCCTCGGATCAAAAAAGCAGTATCAGGAATCAGTGACTATGCCCCTCAATGCACCCTCTGATCTCATAACCACATCAGAGGGATAGTTAATATCAGCCAATCCTTAAATTTAGGTAAATTAATATGTAAGATGTACCTAAACTTAGTTTAACAAACGGACATCCTCCAGTCCTTATTATTTTCATTCTGTGTGATTGTGTACTTATCATAATGTCATGATTTGGTCTTATGTAGTTTCAGTTTATATTTCCTGTTTTAGTAGTTCTCGTTTCCTAGCTTAGTTTCTAGTGTTTTTATTTTGGTATTTCTTATCCCAGTGTTCTAGTGTTTATCTACGTTGAGTTCTCTGTGTGTCTTCATTGTTTCATAATTTTATTTTGTAGTTGTCCTCAGTATTTCTT